GAAGTACAGCCATATGCTTCTTAGAAGTGAGGATGGGGAGACTTTGTCTCATGTGATTTGGACACGTTATCCGGATAAATCAGTCCCTGGAAAAAGGCATCCTGCTTGGTAAAGTAGAAATGAGCAAGCCCCGCAAACAGAGTGACAGAGTGGGTGCGCTCATGCGCTCAAACGAAACAACAGTTGTGATGAATGGCACAGGAATGGGCAAGTGCTTTCTGTCTTCTTGTCGGTAGGCTGCTAGGGGAAGGAGCCATACAATTCCACCTGAGGGAAACATCTGACAAAGCATAAAGGAATGGAATGAAAATGTCTTAAATCTGGAATGCTAAGACGCTTCCGTGCTAAATACCAACCTGATTATGATAAATGATTTTCTGTATATGAAATCTATGGTAGGCAAATCTATAAAGATAGTAACTAGATTAATAATTACCTAGGAGGCAGAGTGATGGGGTGGGGTGGTCCTAGAATACAGGGCTAATAATAAAAAGCATGAAAAGAGAATGTTCTGAAATTAATTGTGGTCATGATTGCATAATTCTTAATATGAATGAAAGATTACATTACATGGTATACAAATTATATGCCAATAAAACTATTTTAAAGAAATGAGGTAAGAAAACCAAACTGTTATTGATCAACGTACCTGGAATTGAGAAATGTTTCTTGAAGGTAGGCACAATTTAGGAAAGTGAGCCAAGCTAAGGGAAAACTTACCTCAGTTTAAAACAGAAAATTAAGTTTAAGAAGAAGAACAAAGTAGAAAGCCTCTCACTTCCTGACCTCAAAATCTACTACCCAGGCACAGTAGTCAAAACAGGCTGGTACTAGGGAATGAAAGATTTTAAACCAATGGAACAGACCCAGAAATAAATCCATCCACTTAGAGATGACTTTTCCCCCCCCTCACAATTGATTTTTGACAAATGACTGAAATACCTTAAAAGGAGGAGCGATAGTCTCTTCAACAAATGGTACTGGCAAAACTGGATTTCCCTTTGCTGAAAATTGAGGGAAGACTCATAACTTACTCCAGATACGAGAAATGAACTCAAGATGGATTAGACACCTACACTTTACTCTTGAGTTGTAAAGATTATCAGTGGACCAAGAGAGAGAAATAGAAGGGCTCTAATACATAGATGGCATAAGCATACTAACAAGCAGAATGAAAAACACACCCACAGTAAAGTCAAAGTAGAAGTGTCTTAAAAATACGGCACTGATGTACCTTAGAAGATTTCACCAAAGGCATAAAAAAAAACCCTTACAAAGTGGGAAAAAAAATCTTGGCAATGACAGACTAATCTCTAAAATCTATAGAAAATAGCAATACCTCAACAAGAAAAGGACGAATAACACAATTTTAAAAACGGGCAAAAAAACATGAACACTTTACCAACGAAGGCATTCAGGTGGCCAACAAACACTGGAAGAAATGCTCATGATCACTAGGCCTTCAGAAACACAAATTAACACACAGCAAGATACCACCTCACCCTGGCATTAATAGCAAAGCTCAAAAGAGCAGAAAACCAATGCTGCATGGGGTGCAGAAATTGGAAACCTCATACACGGCTGCTGGGGCTGTACAACAGTACGGGTACTGCGGAAAGCAGCATGGCACATCCTCAGACAACTGGGAATAGAAATATCACTTGTTCCAGCAAGTACATTACCTGGTATATGCCCTACAAAAATCAAGAACCCAGCGTGAACAAACACATGCACACCTTTGTTCACTCACAGCAGTCAGAAGACGGAGACAACCCCAGTGCCCTGTGCTGGAGGAAAGGAGTCAACCACACAATGGCATACTATGTAGCACTCATTAATAATGATGAATTTGTGAAACATCAAATGACATGGATGGATTTGGAGGGCAATATACTGAATGAAGTTGGTCAACCAAAGCAAACACTGCATGAGACCACAAATAAGGAAAAATTAAGACAAGGTTTTTATATCTTAAGAAATAGGACTTTGATGGTTAGTGGGGTGGGGAGAGGGGAAGTAATAAGCTGGAGGACAGACGTGTTAACTTGGGTGAAGGGAAGACAATATACAAAGAGATGGAATAAAAAGATGGAGCAGAAAGAGAGCAAGCCAAGGGAGGATTGTTAGCTGCTGAACGCAAAAACTATTATCTCATATTTAAACCCACACCTACTTCACAATAAAAATCTTTCTGAAAGTTAAGTTTAAGGCTACAAAGGAATTAAATATTTTTTAATCAACATGCTTTATATTCCTAAAATGGCAGTGCTCACGTGGATAAGTAATTTATTTCTAAAAACCAAAACAACACATCTCTCCAATTCCTCACTTATAGAATACCATTTAAATTGTACTTTTTACAGCTATAATGCAAGATTCTTAAGACACTTACCTTATTAGCTTCTACTGTCACTATTCGATTAAGAAATTTCATCATAATTGTTGGTGCCACAGGATTAAAACTGTCAAAGATTAGAAAGATGGTATCTAAATAATTCATTTAAAAAAACACTTGTGTGTGAACATTATGAAGCTAAAATTGCTCTTACTTGATATATATATATATAGATAGATATATTTCCATTAAAAGATCATTTTATTGGGGGTTCTTACAACTCTTATATCCATACATCAATTGTATCAAGCATATTTGTACATATGTTGCCATCATTCTTTTCTAGACACTTTCTATTGAGCCCTTGGTATCAGCCCCCCCATGACCCCTTGATAAATTATAAATTATTATTTCCATATCTTACACCAATCACTGTCTCCCTCCCCCCATTGTTCTGTTGTTCGTCCCCCTGGAGGGGTGTGTGTGGTTATGTGTCGATCATTGTGACAGGTTCCCCCTTCTTCCCGTTATATTTTTTAAATAGTTACATTGACAAATAATTCACATATACTTCCATAGTTCAGTCATATTAAAAAGGGTTGTATATCAGCTCTACAATCATCTCTAGATCAATTTCTTCCTTCTTGTATTCATTATTAGCGTCCCGTTTCCCTCCAACCTCCCATCCCATTTTCCCAATGAGCCATTAATCCACTTACTGTCACTATACTTTTACCTAGTCTGGATTTCATATACTGGAAAACACACCAAAAATGAACAACAAAAACAAACCAACAATCACAAAATAACCACAGCAAAAAAACCTCAATTGAGAAAAAGGCAGGAAGTTAATATTAAAATCAAGAACAAATTTAAAATGGGTCAAGAGGGACATCAAATGACCAGGTATTACATTTTAATCTAATTACGTCTGCCATAATCAAGTTTACAATACTCTGTCTGTAGCAAACGTATGCACACCCATCACCTATGATCAGAGGGTAGTCATCAGAGGCTTAGTCCATGTAGGGACTCTGCAAATGGATTTTGGGCTCCCAGTCATCCTTTTGAAGATCACATGTTCACAATTTAAGCTCCTATACCATTCATTCCTTCCTTTAGATTTAGCTTTTATTATTTATTATCCTTAAATCATATAGGCTGGTGTGCTTCCTCCAGTGAGCTTAGTTGATACGTCACCTAGATGGATGCTCGCTGTAAGACAAGCCCTTAAGACTACAGAGATTTTTGTGGGATTTTTTGGCTAGCCAAACACCATCTGATCTCTTCACTACACGTTGCTGTAGCACCCGTATCTTCAATGATCTCTTCATGAGGGCAAGCATTGAGTGGGGTCCGGTCATAGGAGCTATTTTTTCTTAAATTGGGTCTAGAATTAAATGGCAGCCCAAATCCATTCATACCTATGGTTTACATATAGCTCTGGTTCACTTTAGGGGCCTCATTATCACTTTATGACAGAGAGCATTATCTATCACCTCCTCCCTCCAACCCAGGGCACACGGTAAATTCTTTTTTATTATTATTAAAAGATCATTTTATTGGGGGCTCTGACAGTTCCTATAGCAATCAATCAAGCATATTTGTACATATGTTACCATCATTATTTTATAGACATTTACTTTCTATTGAGTCTAACGTAAATTCTTTAATGCTTACCTGATATTTGATATAGAACACTCTTCTTGAATTTCTTTGGGAAACAGTAACCTTTGATTATTATGTCCACTGAGACTATCAGAGATTATAAATATAAGAGGACATCGACCAATCTGTACATAATTCCTAAAATCACAAAATAATGTTTAAACTTAGACCACTTGATGTTTAATTTGAGGTTTTATAGAAAGCTTCACTGAAACTCACCTTAAAACTTCATGTAAAATTTTAGAATCTCGATAAAACTGGTTAGGTAAATCCTATTAAAAACATAAGATAAATGTTCAGTTTTATTGCTATACAAGTTTATATATGGATTTATATTTACCAAGAAAAGACAACACTTTTACTTATCCAGGGTATTTGTATACAGAACCTGCCTGGAGATTAAAGGAAGGATGAAATACTTGATATTCTAATCATTTATGCATATAAGGGAAGAATAATTTTCAGATCAACTTTTGTTAGTATTATTGTACCCCAGCTATATTATTTTCATTAAGAAGTAATTTTTCAAACATTTATTTTGCCTTTCCATACTTAATCCTTTTTTATTTTCCACCATGCCAGATGAGGAAATAAAGGTCCTCATAGCTTGACTCCCTCCACATCATTAGAGTTGGCGCCC